GTGGTCAATGACATGAGACAAAGTATATGTGAACTACTGTATGGAAAGTGAATTTGCTCTGTAAATCTTCACCCAAATCACAATAAAAAATAAATGAAATAAAATAAATTTAAAATAAAAAAAAACTTGACAGCACATAACAACAAAAACAGTGCTACAAAATTAGGCACATACGTTATAGAAGCAACAGAAGACAGAGTTGGAGTAACTTCTCAGACAACCAAACACCTTGATAGAGAGAATCACCAGGCCTGCTGACTCGGGACCATAGTCTCAGGGGACATTATGCTCAATTGGCACAAGATAGTACATAAAAATCTTGTTCTACAACCTACTTTGGTGAGTAGCAACTGGGATCTTAAAAGCTTTCGAGTGGCCATCTAAGATGCAACTATTGGTCTCCTCTCATCTGAATCAAAGAAGAGTAAAGAAAATCAAAGCCATATGGAAACAAATTAGTCCTAGGATACAATGAACCATGAGGACCTCAGCCTTCATGATCCCCAGGCCAGAAGAACTAGATGGTGCTTGGCTACCAATGCCAACCACTCGGAAATGGATCAAAACTGGAGATCCTGGATAGAGTGGGAGGAAAAATGTGGAACAAAATTCAAAATCACAAAAATGACCAGAACTACTGGTCAGATGGAGTCTGGTGGAACCCCCAAGACTATGGCCTTGGGTTACCTTTTGGCCTAGAAATGGACTCACTCCCATGCATAGGCTCTCAGTCCAACAGTAGAAAGACCTACATGCAAAACATCTACCCCAGGGTGATGCACTCACCTACTCTAGTGAGATGCACCCCTTAGAGCAATCAGCTATGAGACACCAGAGGGGCAGCATTCACATAGAGGGAAATCTGGACAGATAGCAATGCATAGTTAAGAAGGGCACAGGGAGGAGGTAGTCACAGGGACAGGAGGGAAGGGGAGTTTGTATGGTCGGGGATGATAATCAAGGTGTGAAATCAAATGTGCAAGAATTTTTGTTTGTAAAACAAATTTGCTCTGTAAATTTGCACCCAAAGCACAATAATTTTTAAAAAAAAAAAAATCATATGGTGATATCCTCCCTTTTAATTAATATACTACCATTCACACTTCTATTGTTTAAAGATAGTTTCATATTAGATATTTTACAATTACACTTTAAAAAAAGCCATCTGTATCCACATTAGTATGCAATTACAACTGTTTCCTGACAATGGAAAACATTTTGTTTTTCTCTGGTACAAACATCAATTAATCTGGTTGTAGTCATCTGGACTTAAGATGCTAATGAGTCTTCGTAAAGAACTTCATCTACTTTCACATCATTTTCATCCACTGGGATTTGGCAGCAGATCTGTTCTTTGAAAGCCAAGGCCATGGTGTAGGGCTTCACTTCCTGCTGCTTCAGACAGCGCCTCAGGTAGGTGTCATAGTAGCCCTTCCCCCTCCCCAAGCGGTTGCCATGTATGTCAAAACCAAGACCAGGCATGAAGATGAGATCAAGTCCCCCTGTGAAAAAGAGCAACAAATTTAAGAGAGTTAATGAGGTCATCAGCAGTTGGAATTAACTCAATGGCAAAGGGTTAGGTTTTTTGTATGTGTTTTTAATGTTTTCTGAAAGTGATTAATAACTTCATGATCTGCTTTTGCTGTTTTAATGACATCGATTCTTTCTTTGGGTGGTATAAATAACACTAACACTCTTGCCTGCTAATCTAACTGCTGGAGGTTCAAGGCCCCCTAAGGGTGCCTTGGAAGAAAGTTCTGTCAATCAACTTCCAAAAAAACAGCCCCTGAAACCCCTATGGGAAGATTGGTGAATGGAAATAGAGAACTCAGGGAAAAAGCAGGAAGAGTGCTATTATATTGAGAGGACTGCAACTAATGTCATAAAAGAACATGTGAACAAATTGTTGAAACAAACTTGCTCTATAAACTTTCACCCAAACCACAATAAAATGCTCCCCCCAAAAAAAGATCCCTATGGAGCACAGTTCTACTCTGACACACATGGGATCAATGGTAAGTCAGAATCAACCCCACAGTAACTGCTATTCTTTCTCTGATTTCTAAAGTAACATATGGTCACCAAAAAAAAATCTAAAAAGTACAGAGTTAGGCAAAGAGGAAAATAAAAATGATTCAGTAACTTAGTAATCTCATCATCTATTCTTCTAGCAGTTTTCTTGTTTAAATATATATTGTTGTTGTTGTTGTTATGTGCCATCAAGTTGGACCTGACTGAAAGTGACCCCTCCTTCAGTTTCTGAGGTGGTAACACTATGGAAGTAGATTGCCCAACCTTCCTTCCGAGGAGTGGCTGGTGGGTTTGAACCACCAGCCTTCT